CATTGGATTTTTGGTAGGGCTTTGGTGCCCATTGAGCTAACATCGGGTCCTTTCCAGTTGAAATGCTTCATGGTCAGGTCGTTCTGAGTTTGTCTCGCTTTATTTTACCTCCTGACGCCTTTGGTCCCACTGGAGCATTAAGGATTTGGTGGAGGCTAGGTTTATGGAGAAGGGGTTCTGGTGGAATGAATGATTTACAATATCCGAGTGGTCTGCCTAAGGCATTTCAACCTATTCATAACTTCTTCAGTCAAGACTGGGGTGTCTACATCCACATCGGAGCCATTATGCCCAAATACTCAGCCCCTCTTCATCACAATTGATCTCGATTATTTTGGACTTGGAGAGATTAATCTTGCTCCCAAGATCAGTTCTTAGCATCTAAGAAACAACCAAACATGTTGAACCTGCTCAAGGGAGGCACTGGTGAGAAGCAGTGTGTCATCAACATATTGTCGATGTGATATTGGCTTATCATAACCGTGAACTTTAAGGTCGTTGATAACATTGGCCTTTATTGCAGACCTCGTCTTTGCACTAAAAAATTCCCCAACTAGAGTAAACAAGAACAGAGACTGGGGTCCCCTTGTCTCAAGCATCTAGTAGCCCTGAAATAGCCAGAAGCCTTGCCGTTGATCTACACGAAGAAGTGGGCTGAGACCTGACACCCTTGATCCATCTTCTCCACATATTCCCAAAGCCTATAAGTCTCACTATGTCGTCCAAATAATCCCATTCTACACGAACGTAGGCCTTCTCAAAGTCCAGTTTACACAAGATACCATAATTCCCCAAACTTTTGATATCATGGATCACTTCCTGTGTTATCAAGATACCATCAGTAATTTGCCTTCATTTGATAAAGGTTGATTGGAGTCCTTGTACAACTTTAGAGATGACTGCCTTCAATCTGTGCGTAGGGACCTTCGCTAGGATTTTATAGATATAATTCAATAAGTTAACAGGCCTGATGTCCTCTCCATATGCTGCTTTTTAGGAACTAGGCCCATGGAGGTGGAATTAAGGGCCTTGTTAACTGTAGCATCAAAATATAATTCCTCAAAGAAAGACTTCAAGTCATCTTTAATAATATCCCATAATTCTTGGAAGAAAGCCACCATTAGGATCGAGAGCCTTATCCTTGGGTTGGGAGAATAAGGCCTCCTTAATTTCATCTAGCTGGAAAGGGTGTTCCAATTGGTTCACGAAAGCGAGGTCTAGTTGCCTGAAAGAGGGATCTTCAATGGAGAAAAGTAATATGGGTTGCGAAGAGAAGGCATTCTTGAAGAAGTTGACAATATAATTTTTTTTACCATCCCGATAGCCCTCCAAAACTCCAGGGATACTAATAACTTCCAAATTATTAGATCTCCTTTTAGAGTTGGTAATAACATGAAAGTATTTGGGGTTGTTATCACCATCTTTAATCCATCTGGAACAGGATCTCTGAAACCAGTAAATTTCTTGGGCCCTCAAGTTATCATTCAACTTATTCTTGATTAAATCTCTCTTGGACTTTTGGTCCAAAGAAAGATCCCCTTGAGACTGTTCTAGGTTCAAAACATTCAACATTCTCTCAGATTGGTTCACTCGGGCTGAGACATGATCGAAATTCCTCTTTGCTCAATCTTTAAGTCTATATTTAAGGACTTGATTTTTCTAAGCCAAGATATATCACCTACCAACCTTGGATAATCGTATTTTGCCATACTGACATAACTTCAGTTCTGAGGGAGTGATTCTGCAACCACATATGCTCAAATCAGAACTGTGGGGGGCCAAAAGAGCCTCCAAAGAGACCAAGTAATAGGGGCACATGATCCGATGAGATATATGGGAGTGCTTTAACAAAGGCTTTTGGGAAGGCGGAGTCCCAAAGTTTATCAATTAAAAACCTATTAATTCTGGATAAAAAGAGGTTTGGTGTTCGAGTTATTAGTCCATGTAAATTCAGTACCAGCCAGATTCATATTAATTAATCTATTAGATAAGATAAAATTGTTTAAGATGTTCACGTCTTCTATGATTCAGCTCCCACCACTATAATCTGATGGATATCGCCCTCGATTGTAAGTTAGGACCTTCAATGTCCTAAGTTCCTCTCGGACCTCAAATTAGTGGAACTTAGGACCTTGAAAGTCCAAGGTTCTTTAACTTAGGACCCCAAGAGCCACATTGTTGATGCCAAATAGCTCAACTTAGGACCTTCAAAGGTCCTAAATTAAAGGTGTTTTGGTTATTTTAAAAATAAAAAAATGGATATGAGTGTAATAACCAAAGTTTCAAGAGATTTTTTTATAAAGGCAATTCACAGGGATATACGAGTAAATTTCTCTACCCAAAAACATGTCAAATGAGATGCAACAAGATGGTTTTCAATGTGGCTGCAGCCTCACAAATCATTTTTATGATAAATATATATATATATATATATATATATATATAGATATAGAAAAGAGATAAAAAAAAAAGGCAAAAGTTATTTTAGTCCCCAATAATTTTTTTTCTAATTGTAGCCTTGAAATAATAATGGCTCGAGATTGAAGAATAGAGATCATGATATATATATTTTTGGGGTAGGTCACTAAGGGAGAAGGCCCCTACTCGATTTTTCATTAGTAATAAAAAGAAAATACTGTTTATAAAGTTCTAACCCGGGCATTTGTTCCACATCATAAAGTATCACCAGAGAAAGAAAATCCGGTGGTCTAGATCATCAAATATTGACATGTAAAAAAGCTGTGGTGAGATCTACCTGAATCAATGTTTGCTAAATCGAACCGGAACGGTTAATCGGACATGGGGTTGGGAGCGGTTTGAACCGAAACCGGATCAACCGGGCCGGTTAACTGGACTAACCGGTCAAGTAGATTTTTTTTTTAAAAAAAAATGGATAAAAAACTCCCAAATTTTTTTTTAAAAAAAAACTAAAAATACTTAGACTAAATGTATAATATCTTATTACATATATTTATTTTACAAAAGAAAATTGAAACAACTTTTTATAGAGTAATATTCGAATACTATGGTCTTGTGCTTGAAAATAGCTTAGGATATTTTTTTTTGAAGATATTTTTGTCATATAATATAGAAAAAACTTCCCATATTGATAAAATATATATATATAATTTTACTAAGCAAAATGAAAATTTTCTTTTTTAGAAAAATCAATTTCTCAAATGAAGGATGATTTGAAATTAAGATCTTTGCATAACTCTCTCTCCCTCTCTCTCTCTCTCTCTCTCTGGAATCGGGCCATATCAAGATCGGCCAGTGACTGATCCCAAGTTAGTAGGCTGATTTTTTTAAAAATAGTTGATCTTTTAAAGGCTATTTCCATGACATTCCAAAAACTTGATAGAGAATGAACAAAAAAAAAAAATAAAGACAAATAAGAAGAGCAAAGCACATACAAGACGGTGTAGTGTTTAATTGAACATAAGGTAACCATAATTTTTACATGCACTTTAAAAAACAAAATATCTCATTTCCATAATTACAAATATAAATATATCAACTGAAAAAAAAAGATAACTAAAAAATCGAGCGACATTATCATGCATTTATAAAAAAGAAGAATAAATTTTATAAAAAAATAATATTATCAAAGTAATAATTTTATTAAGCAAAATAGAAAAACAGTTCCCATATTCATCAAAAAAATGTACTTTTATTAAAAAAATCATAATCCTATTAAAAATAATTTATTAAGCAAAATAGAAAAACACTTCTCAATATCAAAAAACATAATTTTCTTCAATAAAATATCTTTTTTAGAAAAATCGACTTTTCAAAAAACGAAAAAATGAAGCAACATTTCGAGCAAGAAACGGCCCTCAATGTTTGGATAATCGAAAAAATAAACATACACGCATTGTAAAGGCTTCGATCATCTTTCAAACGCACCCAATATCATCAAAAAATATTCTCTATTTTTTTTTAATTGAAGAAAATGGGGAAATTCGAGATCTATGAAATTTTTGTTATATAATACAACGAAAAAATTGATATAAAAAAATTTACTCAATAATAAATAAACATAGTAATTTTATTTGAGCTATAAAGCCTCAATTATTGAAATACATAACTTAATTTGATAAAAAACAACCAATAAATGGATAAAAAACCCATGTTTTTAGGTAGAACACAGGTTCTTGGAGCAGCAACCATTCGGGCTAAAATAAACCCTTTTTTTTTTGTTTTATGATCAAATTGAAGCTTGAGTCTAGTAAATACTTCGAATAGCAATCAAACCCCTCAACTTTCTTGAAGCATCATTAGGTATTGAGGAGATTATTAAAAGAATGCCTGAGGTTTTCACAAACCTAAAAAATCCGTCATTTCAATTCAAGAAACTCATTTTTTTCAATGTTTAAATGCAAATTTAACGTTTTAGATTCATCATATAGTGATTTAAACCATTAAAACACGAAAAAACAACCAAAATATGGCTGCAAACCGAATAAAAAATGGTGAAATTTGGATTCACAGTTTTCCTTCTGCAAATAAAATAACTCTGTTATTTATAAGTTACTGTTACTTACCCTAAAAAGCTATTTTAACGATAAACCAGTCCGATAAGTTGAAAACCGACCAATTTTTAGAAAATATCGCCGAACCGGCCGTTTTTTGTACCAATTTTTTTTTAAGATGAGCGTCTATTGAGTAATACCGTAAAACCGGCCTTAACCGAAATCGGTACCTTACCGGTACCGATCTAACCGAGGCTCCATCGATATCAGCATCTAACTCTGCGAGACTCTTTAGAAAACTCAATTTTTTTAAAAAAAATAATAATAATCATCTAAGAATAAGTTATTCCGAAATTTCAGATTGAAAAAAAATCAAGGGAGGTCTTTGTACTGAGGGAGTAGAAAAAAAATATGCTCCCCAGGGAGCATAGCATACCTACGCGGGAGAAAATAACGGTAGACAAGGCGAGAGGTAAAGAGAAAGGGGGAGGAAGACCTGTTTGGGTTGAACAAATCTTGATAAAAGTATTGTTTTCCCCTCCATCCGTTTAGGAGTGGAAAAAGGTGCACCTTGGTGGCCTTCCTTATTCATGGGTGACCCACATTTCCAACACCTTTTGTTGAAGAAACGCTCCCAAAATGCAGGTAGCCCTAAATAGAGAAATCCTGCTCAATTAGGCATTTAGTAGACTTAATGAGACGTGCAAACAACTCCTCACTCACCTCTGTTCCATAAAACACCGATCCATTTAGCAGGAATCCGGTTGAAGTTTCAGATTTAAGGTTACCCTCTTTCCATTGTCGCCAAAAGTTAGGGTTCTAGTTCCTGCTTAATTCTAGCTTTCATGTTTTTGCCTTTTCATGGCTCTTACTTCCTAATTTTTTTTATCAGTGTATATCTGTGCTCTCTTATCTACTGGTACAAATTTAAACAGATTAATCGATGTGATTGTGCAGATTTTTTCAAATATACGAATTCTGGGTATTTCTTAATCACAAGGAGCTTTTAATTTTTTTTCATTTGAAGCACTTACATTTCTCTCTCTCTCTCTCTCTCTACATCTCTCTCTCTCCTGAATATTGAATAGTTTTGAGTAACATCAGTTTTAATAAGGTTTCTATTGTTAGCGCAATGCTTTTATGTGAAGTGATTTTTAAATAATAAAATGTATTTAGGATATTATATGTAAGGAAAAAGTTTATATAGAGCCGAGGCTCTAAACAATCAAATTTGAGCCTACCACAAAAATTTCACTAGAAGAGGTTGTTTTGATGCCCCAATATCTTCAAATTGATAATCTCAGCACATGAAAAAAATGGATTTCAAGTTTTGAAAATAGTGTATTTTGTAATGCCTTTTTGGACCGTAAATTTTCAAGATTTTCAAGTTTTCATAGATTAGTCGATCTACACTATTTTTGAAGCTTTAAACTTTATAAATAAATATAAAAATATACTTTAAATCTATCACACAGATTTCCAATATTGAAACCACATTTCTCGACACTATTTGAAGGTAGTCTCTAATTTGATGGTTTAGAGCCTAGGTTCTATGCAAACCGCACCCTATATGTAAACCAATGCATTTTTTTTTTTAGCTATTATTGATAATTATTTAGCTTATCCGTGTGTAATTTCTCCTTAAAACAGGTCGGATAAACTTCTAAAATGGAGCAGTGGCTCAATCAGTTGCCTATAACTCAAGAAGTTTATGTAGCACTGGCTGTTTTGTTCTTCACTTCTGTTTTCTTCTTATTATGTAAGTACTTATTCGTTTAGTGCAATTTTGTGTTGTATTGGTATTTTTGTTTTCTCCCTTCTATGTGTAAGTTTTCATTGATTTAGTGCCATATGTTTATCTTGTATGAATCTTTCGTGTTCTTCTTGTCATGTAAGCATTTATAGATTTAGTGCCATAAAAAATTGTTGCATATTACATGTCCAAAAAAAAAATTTCATGTATTGGTCTTTTGTTTTCTTCTTCTCATGTAAGTTCGTTTTGATTTAGCGCCATAATTTTCTCTTGTATGGGTCCCTTTTTTTTTCTTATTGTTGTGTTAGTTTTTATTGATTCAGTGCCATAAATTTCTCTTGTATTGGTCTTTTATTTTCTTTTTGTCATTTAAGCTTTTGTTGATTTAGTGCCATAAATTTCTCTTGTATTCGTCTTTTGTTTTCTCCTTGTTATGTAAACTTTTATTGATTTGGTGCCATAAATTAATCTCTATTTTATTGGTCCATTTTTATGGGTTGTTCTTTAGCATGCAAAGTATTGGACCTCTCAAGTGGTCTTAATGCTTATTTTGAGAGCTTCTTTTGGGATTTGAAATAGTTTTTCTCAACACTAATTGATTTATATGGATTTTCTTTTTTTGTGCAGTCCGTTTTTTTAGGCGCACAAAATCTAACACCATTGTTCTAGCTGGTTTAAGTGGAAGTGGAAAAACTGTGCTCTTTTACCAAGTAAGCACCTTTATGGATGGCTTGGAAGTGTTTTGTAATATTTGTAAGAGATGAAATGAGTTTTGATGGATAAGTGAAATATTTTGTTGGTAGTTTTATTTGGTAACTTATGTAGTTTTTGGAGTTAAATTCTATGATTAAATATTAAAGTTTTTGTTCTCTTTTCTTACTTTGAATGGGGATGATGTTTTGGCTGAAGAGGGTAGCTCATTTCAGTTGTGACTGTTTCATCTTTGTTTTGAAAATGACCCCTCATTGTCTCGTGTATTATTGAGTTTTTATTATTTATTTATTCCTGCACTCACTTATCTTTAATGAAATTCCCCCACACACAAACAGAAAAGGAGATAAAATTTAAAAAATAAAATAAAATCAAAATTTTATTGATGTTTACTCCCCCATAAAGGTTACATATCCAAGGAGGAATACTCTTTTAAATCAATTTATTTTTTGTCGCTAAATATGATGTAGCGAGCTTACAGGGCTTTGACCTTAGATGAGCAATGGGTAGAAGTTTTGAGGCAGTTAAGTGTTGGGATGCTAGGATTGTAGATGTGGCTCCACCTGAGCATGCCTTCCAGAGTTTGGTGTTGTGCCTGTCAATGGTTTGACAGTCTGGATCTCCCAATAGGTGTCAATTGTGGTGGTAAACCCTTATGCTTGAGTGACTGAGCAGAAATGTGTTTGGGCCTTATCAGGGAAGTTCCCTGACCCCACCTTCCCAATAATGTTAGCTGGCTCGCTACAATACTTAGGAATAGTCCGTGTACTTGGCTTTCGTATCTTTGTGATTGATGGAGAGTTGCTCATCTAAGGGGTAAAAAGTCCAACATTTAGGGCAAATGAAGAGTCGGCTGTCAGCCAGTTTCTATTGTAGTCGCATGAGGCATGGCTTTAAGTATTTGATTTCGAAGGTATGTGGAGGGTTTACATTGTCATAACTCGGATTGAAGCTCTGTAATATTTTAGCTTGGATCGCCATTATTTGTATTTTGGGCAGTTTTTAAGCTGGGTTTTGGTGAAGTGTCCTTAGCCAAATTTGGGCATAGTTGTGTTTCTGGCCTTATCTCCTCACACCCAGAGATCAAAGTGAAATCAAAATTCAAATTTTAGCACTAATTACTGAAACCTTTTCCCTTAATCTCCCTGATTTATAATTAAAATGCCATGGCCTTTTGAATAACGGACAGTTTCTCCCTCACACTATACCTATGATTATCAGGTTCTGGTGCTCCAAATTTTCTCATTCTCAGTATGTCTTGAAACCAACAAGCTGCATTGGAGTAACTTTAGTGCCATCAACTTAATAAAGGCTTAATCCATTATTCTTGTGCCATGTTGTCGAATCAGACCAGAATTGGCTTTGATGTGAACCAGAAGTCCAGAACAAGTTCCCTTAAATACTCTGGATCAAAATAAACCCTGAATTCTCTTCCTAATTCATCTTTAGAAGAATTAGATCAAAGGTAAACACATGCTTGGATCTATGACCAAGATTCAACTCGAATACGGAGCTTCATATACGTGGCACAAGCTCCCCAGAAAGCATTTCATGCTCCTGCATCTATCATGAACACCACTCCATAACATAGTTACCAGGATCTTCCAGCCAGGGGTTTGATTTAGCTCCAAAATCTCGTGCTGCGCTCCAGGGAAGGGAATCTCACCCCTCTGAGATTTTTAAACCTTGGTATCTTGATCCTCCCAACCAAGGACCAAGATCCTGAGTTACAGGCGATCCATATTCTGTTGCAATGTAGTACAGTCTAGCAATATTACATAGTCTAACAATGTCATATGTATAGTAGTGTATTGTATAATCTATAATTTATATTATATTTTATAGTCTATAGATTGTATATGATGAATTTAAATATAGTTGCATATAGTAATTGTATAGTCTATAGTCTATATTATATTTTATAGTCCATACATTGTATATAATGAATTTAAATTTAAATATAGTTGCATATAGTACAATATAGTAAAGTATAGTGTATAGCATTGTATTGTAGTATAATATAGCAATAAATCATTGTATAGCAATGTGCTATAGTAATAGTATATGCTATATTATTATACTAGTTAACTGCTCTGGTGGGCCTCGATTTTTAATCAAATGAAGCTCGGTCCAGTATAATTTATCATTCGATCCTGATTAAGTTTGGATTGAGCACCCCCTAGATTTAAGGGCTTATAGACTGCCATCCCTTCCATAGGGAGCTTTCTGCTTGTCACGATCCCCTAGTCCAGATCCTGATCTCTGATCTGATTCAATCCCGCTTCTGATAACCATGCTCTATAACAAATATTATTGCTAAGCCACTATCTGATTTGATAATTAGCTGACCATTTAGTGGCTCTCCCAAATCAGGTATTAAAAGAGGCGATTCAACCTGAATCACCCTGGGTTTGGCCGCAAAGTCACTTGTTTTTCCCTCCTTCCTATCATTGGCACCAATGTGGTAATCCCCAATGGAAGCCACATAACTTAGCCTTTTAACTTATTTGCTTAGAATTAACTGCTGAAGTTTTATTGTCAGGGGGATTGATTTGTTACTGAAATTTTGTTGGGACTTTGATTTCCTTGAGATATTGAGTTCCTTTTAATTGTTTTTGTATTATCGCCTTCTGGGAAATTTATGACTTATGCTTCTTGCTGCATCATTTCACTTGGAAGTTTAAAGGGAAAGCATGAAGCTTTAATGGCCAGGCCCTGCATTTTTATTATTCTGGTGATTGTGGAGTTGATGTTGCATAACCTGACATTAAATCGAACTTTATTGCAAGAACTTGTATTGAGATGTTGGGGTATGACTGGTTGACATGGTTGAGTAAGCTTGTTGTGCCATGATGTAGTTGAAAGTGAATGGAGGGAGTGTCCTGATGCATGTTGGAGCTTCAGATTAGAGTCTTGATTTGATTGCTCTGAGTCAAACGATTGATATATTCAGAAGGAAAAGAAGCCATCAGAGGGCATAGGTAAGTATGAATGTTGGAGGAATAGGATTATGACTGGAAAGGTCAATTTGGGTGTGTTTGCAGGAAGGTTATAAGTTACAGATTTCCTCTTTATCATTGAATAATATCTTGGTTATACGCATCTTAAATTTTACTAAGCTGAGAATTAGTTCTTAATTTTTTTTTGTTGTTGTTGTTGAGCTGTTGACTTTGTATTATTTGTCTACACTAAAAAAACAAAGAGATCCTCTTTTCTACCACTCTGCTTCCAAATCTAGCCTTTGGCCATCTCTTCATAGCCCATTATGACTCTACAGAGTGGCGGACTGTAAGTCTAAGCGTGCATTATGCTGTAAATAATATTTGCACATGCAATTGTCCCAATCAACATATTTATTGTTGTATCATTGTTTGATAATTGCTTGGGTCCGGTTGCATATGACAATGTGATATGCTAATGAGTATCATAGATCATAATGCCTACCCAATGACACTAATGGGCATCATGATCAACTACTAGGTATTATATCAAGCAAAAAGATCTACTAACAGGTATGGTATCAGTCTTTATGGCACCTTTATATGAAACCAAGGTTCAAAAAAAGGGATTCGGGCTCCTAGGCGGTTTGGGTGCCTGGCCGCCTAGGCGGGCGCCCAAGGACAGGGAGCCCTCAACAATATCAAACCCCTCCCACCCCAAAAATAAAAAATAGGGGAGTTCTTAGGGCTGGTTTATAGCTTTAGGTAGTTTTTAGGGCAATTTTAAAGCTTCAAACTCCTCGTGATCATGAAATATACGAAAAAAACAATAAAAGAATACATTATATGCTCAATTTCATCATCCAAGTGAGAAAAAATTCAATCTTTTAACTACAAACATGTAAATATATTGTAAAAATAAAAAATAAAAGAAAAAAACACATGATTCATAACATAATGTGTTGTAGCAAAATAAAATCAAAACCCTCTTTCAAATATGATAATACTTTAAAAATATCAAAATCAAATCGGTGTCGGTGCAAACCTCATCTACTAGGTCGCCAAAAGTTCTCAAAATCAACTTTTAGAAGCTCCAAATCCACCCATGAACTATTGTCTTTGTTTTGGGAAGAAATCGGAAAAATATAAAATTTATCGATCTTTCGATGAATTACAAAATAGTGGTTTTTGAAGGTTTTCTCTGACCCTAAAGGCCACGGATTGTATATTGGGGGTTTAAAATACCCCTTGAAACCAAAAAATTACCCAAGGGTTTTTTTTCCCTGCCAGAAATTTGTCATAGGGTGGTGCTTAGGCGGCCGCCCAGACAATAACACCTAGGTAGTGCTCAAACCGCCTTGGTGGGCGGCGCCCAGATGCAAAACACCTTATGCACCCGCCTAGATTGCGCCTAGGCGTTTTGAAAATTTTTCCACCAAAGCGGTCAGGCGGCCGAATTTTTGAACTATGTATGAAACATGTGTAAATGTGATATATTATAGAGTTGTGGAGGAACCAGAGGGGTAGATCCTGCAGGGTTTTTGAGATTATTGCTTAAGACATGATAAAGGGAGGCAGTTATTGCTAGGTGTTACTTCTGTTATGGGCAAAAGCACATGGTGAATATTTTGTGTTATGGGGAGTTAAATGTGATGTTTGTTTGACATTAGTATTGTACTGATACTGGGTGAGTTTTTCAAGGGAGGTTGACGAATGGATTCAGACCATAGTTACAGGAATCTCTCCACCGATCTCGCGTTTCCGGTTCCGAAACCTGATTTCGCGTTTTCGTTAAGGAATCTCCATGGAAACCATTTTTCAGAACCAAGGAAATTTGATTCCTTAATTTGGGACTCTTGATTCGACACATCTTCAAAAACAATTTTTCAAAACCAAGAAAACCCGATTCTTTAATTTCGGAACCTCGATTCAACACATTTTTAGAAACCATTTATCGAAACCAAGGAAACTTGATTCCTTAATTTCGGAATCTTGATCCAACACATCTTTAGAAACTTGAATCCATTAATTGTGGGTAGATGTTCCCAAATATATCAAATCTGGATTCCTGCAAGGATTAAATCTTGATTCCACATCAATTGGAGTAGAAATCTTCCTTCGAATGCTTGTAGTCGTTGCACGGTTTCATTATTTTACTTGTGCCACTCTGGATGGCCTTTACTTTAAATTTAAAATAAAACTGATAAATACAACACGTACAATTAAAAGTAAAACCATGGCATAGACATAATCCTACTTTGTCTTTATAATAATGAAGCAATTTAGAAATATTTGTTTTTTGTATATAATGACCATAAGTTCAATAGTCAACACAATCACTTTAAAATTTTAGAAACCTTCTAATAAGAGACATCCAATATAGGTTCTCAAGTTGATGAGGCTCAATATGTGTTTGTGGCTTCCTTCTCCATAAAAATGGAATCTCGATTCCTGGTAGGGGTCATCAAACGCATTCCATAGTCCATATTATTGTAAATCTCGATCTCAAACTGCCATGGATCTCTAATCCATTTACTTCAGAAACTTGATTCCAAATATGTTAGAATCACGGTTCGAAACAACAACATATCTCTGTTCCACAAATGTCAGAAACTCAATTCCATAGATGTCAAAAACTCGATTCCGCATATTAATGAATCTTGACTTCTGAAGTGTCGATTCCAAGGAGATGGGAATCTTGATTCCAAGGAGGACAGAATCTAGATTCCATATGTGGATGAAACTTGGATCTATTCCGGTTGAATCACAATTCTCAAAAACTAGGAATCTCGTTCCTAGCGATTCCTATTGTTCGGACATCGAATTCCTAAGACATGAATCTTCTAGCCGGCCGCAATTCTGCAATTCTGGTTCCTAAAACGATTCGGGTTCCTAGGTGTTTCCAACAACTATGATTCAGACAACTAGTGAAATGGGATTACTTGGTATGAATTTTCTTTGTAGAGGAAGAGTGTTCCATTGGCTTAAAATTCTCTCAAAGGACAATGGGATACTCCATGTAGTTGGATTCTTGTACATTTCAAATAGTATAGGCCTGTAGGGTTCTATGTGGCTTCGATATGTTAGAGGGGGTGAGAGTTGGCAGGGTTGTGCTGTAGGGTCCCTGTGCAATCATGGTGAAGTTACAGGTCTAGGGCCAGCCTTTGTGTGATGCAGGATGAAAGTCTTTAGCACTTAAAAAGCTGAGTGTGCTAGGATTTTTTTTGAAGGGTGACATGGCCGACATCATATGTACAGTTTGTCTTGTATTAGGAAGACCTAGATTTGGTCTTCGCTTTGGGGAAAAACATTATTACAACTTTTCAAAAGAAAAAAATATTATTACAGACCATTGTGTAAAGATAAATGCTCCTCCTTGAGCTCTCCTGGTGTGGCTGTTTATGAGATTATGTAAGTTGGAATAACTTGTTTCGACACAAACATGTCGGATGGGAAACAAGAGCTTAATAATTATCAATGCAGCCTACCTCTTTAATAGGCATTATGCCTTTGTAATACAAAGTTTACTTCTTGATTCAGCACTTCCTTGCTTGGTGTATTTGTTTCTATGTTGAATTGTTGATGCAGGTGCAATTATCCATATTGTTGGAAGTTTCATATTTATGAAGTTTTTTTGACTGATTTGGAGGGCATATGGTAGATAGGATCCCTACACTTGGCTTTCCTAATGTAGTTTTTGTACTTATTCGCTGTCATATTTTCTGTTGGCTGTACTTTTTAAAATCATATTTTCTGTTGATTACCTTGTGAAGCTTGGTTTGCTCTCAATAACTTGCTCACACTAACTGCTAATCTTTCAAACAAAGTTGTCAACATGTGACCCTTGCTCGCTTGGATATTTCTTTAATTGTCTTTCCATATGGCTGGGTTTGTGAAAGCTTAGATGTAGGAACCTCGCAATTAGAGTTACTGTTTTGCATTGATAATCCTATCTATGTTTCTGAAAATCTGGATTTCTAGTTATGTTCCCAGATTAGTGATCAAAGTTCCATCTTGTAAATACATCTTTGTTGGTGGAATCTTGATTTCAACTTTAAATGAGTTTTTTCTTTCCTTTTTTTTTTGGGAGAACTTAGTGAGAATTTTTTTAATTCCAACTTAGTGAGAATTGTATATGTCAGAGAAATGAAACGCCATGCTTTTGAGTCAGACACATTAGAGACTTGGTCCTTTCAATGAGGATAGTAAACTATTTGGATTATCCGTTTCATTAGGTTAATAACCTAATTTCTGTAAAAGGCTTTCTAGAATAAGTCGATTGTGTCAAGTTGCTATGCTTTACAAAATCAATTCCGATTACGCAGTAAGTTTCACATAAACTCAAGGGAGGCGATGATTTCAAGTCGCTATGCTCTCAATAATTTTGTCAGAACTTCTAGTTCTTAATACAAATGCTAACAGTTTCAAAAGAAAAAGAGAGAAAGTATTTAGAACTCTTATGATTCAAGTGAATTTGTCTGATTATCTTTCTTGTTTCTGTGTCTATTTAGAATTTTCCTGACTGTTTTTATTGTTAAATTTATTTTCTTTACAGCTTGTTGTTTCAATTAGTCGCTTTTTGGAAATATATATCCAGAGATTTGAGAAACCGGAATACATTGGATATTTATAGGTTTCATTGAAGAAGTTATATCGGAGATAACATCCAATAATATATACGATTTATCCAATACAATACCAATAATCAAATATTTATATATTTATCAATTTTTCTAAAGTCCAATACATATTTTAAGCAAATTATAGGAAACTACCTTTTTCTATGAGTTAATAATTAATTCTTGTATTTTAATATTCTAAGGAATGTAACAAAAGAATAACACATACCTTACATTTTCATTTTAGGGTGTTGTTTTAAACTTTAAAAAAGCCTTGGAAAAGATTAGTAGACTTTTTTGTTGGGATGGGGGGGGGGGTGCTTTTTTTCCTTTTCTTAACATTTTTTTGGATTCCCTTGTTAATAACATAAAAGAATAACATGCTAAGGTAAATGGTTTTGGTTTGAATTGACACTCAACCTGAGTTTTGTTTTTAACTCTTTGCTTAAGAGTATTTGGTTACAAACTTAGAATGTCGGTATCATGTTATGGCAAATGCTTATATAAGTTGTATCCAAGTATCTTAGCTATGGCATGGGGGGTATGGGTCCCTTATACATGCGGGTGCTTCTTAGAGCTAGGGATGCCTTTCTGTACCTTGTTACCTTTTAGTTTGTGTGTGTGTGCATGCGCATACACATGTGAGTATGCGTGTGTGGATAAAATAAAAAGTAAATATTCTTGCATGATAAAATTAGTCTTCTAATTTATGTCTACAAGCATTAGAAAAACGTAATTTTATTGCCAGCAGGATAAGTAATAACTCACTTCTTAATTGATAAGAACGTATCAAACCTTTGAAACATTGTGCTCTTTATCTTTGAAACATTGTGCTCTTTATCCTTTTTTTTTATATTGCCTCTGTATTTTTCTAGTTTGCATTTCTTTAATAGGGTTATTTGGGTTTTGTGATGATTGTAATCTTTTTGCCCTGGACTAGCTTCGAGATGGCTCCTCGCACCAAGGTACTGTTACATCAATGGAACCAAATGAGGGCAGTTTCGTGCTTCACTCAGAGACTTCAAAGGTATGGTTGCTATGGAAGTGTCGTCTCCTTGTGTCTCTTGTGTTTGCTCTCCACTACATCCACACACAAAAAATTGATAATAAGATCTCTCTCTCTAACTCTCTCTCTCTCTCTCTCTCATTCTTTTGTGTTCTCTCTGTTGCATGCACGTACGTAAGTTGATACTGAAATTGACAGAGATGAAGACTCACTCTTCTTGTCCTTTAAACAGAAGGGGAAGATAAAGCCTGTGCATGTAGTCGATGTCCCAGGGCATTCTCGCCTTAGGCCCAAACTGGATGAATACTTGTCCCAGGCAGCTGGACTAGTATTCATTGTTGATGCTTTGGATTTCTTGCCAAATTGTCGAGCTGCTGCTGAGTAATTTTTCTTGCCCTTTTTCTTTGTCCGAAGCTGTTAGTATTGGCAATTAACCTGATTTCTAATCTGTTTTTGCTTGTATTGTTTTTCTTGATGGTTCTTTTTCCTTGTATTATTGAAAGGTACCTCTATGATATTCTGACGAAGGTAAGTGTTGTCAAGAAGAGAATCCCGGTTCTAATTCTCTGCAACAAGACTGATAAAGTGACAGCACACTCCAAGGATTTCATAAGGAAACAGCTTGAAAAAGAAATGTATGGATTTAAGTTGATATTTTCTTTTCTGAGTTCTTCATAGTTGCTGCCTATATTCTCTTAGCGAGTTTCCAAATCTACAATGAGGGTACTCAGCCTTTGATAAATCGTACAAACTATTATTCCATTAATTGTTACAACTACTTTCAATGTTTCTACAATTTTAGGAACCACTCGATTTTTTTCTTAAATTGTTAATTTACAAGGAGTGCTGTTATTTATGTGAGCCTTCACAAAGATGATTTAACAAACTTTGTGATTGTGCATATTTTATTTGCAAAAAATAAGCCTACTATCTTATTTGTAAATAGTGTACTCTGCATAATATTATTTTGTTAGCTATTTGGTACAACTACAAACCTTGTACTTTATATAATATTATATAATTATTTAATTTTTGGGGCTATTTTTAGCTGCTTTTAGTTATTTTTGGCTAAAAACATGTGTTTTTCAGCAATTTATTTTAAACAAAGTACAAACAGCTTTTTTAAAAGATAAACTTGTATGTAAAACTGCCTATAAATATATATCTGATAATTTTATGAGAGAGACTGACAAACATCAGATAATGAATTATCTGGATTAATTTGATTGGAACAGTGATTATTAGTTATAATAAGTACATCCAAACAAGCTCGGAATGATCATTATAAAGTAAGGCGGAACATATGGAGAGTATTAATTTAATACCAGGACCGGTGATCTCTCCTTGCTTCTCATGAAATGTTCGCCGTTGCGCCTTGCAATGGCTATTACTCGAAAAGTATTTTTGTAACATAAGTTATCCAAAAATATAGGATATATGGCTGTTTAGAGCAAGATCTTGACCCCGATTTTCACAATATTTTGTATTTAGTATTCCATGAAAGTTTAGGTTAACATCCATTCAAAAGAAATATGGTGCATTATGGCATTGGTCTGAAAATAAGCTTTTCATTATTTGTGGAAATTGAAGTTGCTTTTCAGTTTTCTTCATGAATGTTTTCCCATGCTTGGTGATTTGCAGAGACAAGCTTCGTACGTCAAGAAATGCTGTTTCTGAAGCTGACATCAGCAATGAGTTTACACTTGGTGTTTCAGGGCAACCTTTCTTGTTTTCTCAGTGTGTCAACGAGGTCACTATTGGGGAAGCATCGGGCCTGACTGGTGAGATTTCACAGCTTGAACAATTCATCAGGGAGCATGTGAAATCTTAACGATCTAGGTAAAAATCATAACTTAGACGTCATTTTTTTGACCTTCAGGCTTCATAAGGCCACTACGTATGTATTTATCTATAATTTTCCCATATCGTCGATCCATGGTTCTATACTGAAAATGTTTTTGGCTGATATGACCTCCCCAACTTCGGTTGTAACAAGAACCTGTCGAAATCGATCAACTGAGCAACTCTCTCTCTCTCTCT